GTGAAGAAGGGAGCAAGTTGCACGTGGGGAAAAAAACGCACCGGCTTTAAAGGTCACACCTGAACGCTCACATCCTTTTAATTATGTTTGAAATTATGAACATTGCTCAACATCATGAAAATTAAACCTTATTTTCAATAAGCAATCCTGAAAAATATTTGGGGGTGCTTAACTTTTTTCCAGGTGTATAGTTACCCATATATTCCTCTAGATATTATATTTTACTTTGAATTATGATAGCTACCCTTCTTGTCATATTTTACACTGCTAGTAATTTCAGCTGGGTTTTCAGGATCATCTCTCTTTTTTTTTTTGTGCTTGAATGGTTTTTATTGGCTCCGTAAGTATGCATATTATTAGAATTGTTTTTACCAAATCCAGTTTGGCTTTAAGTAAATAGCAGTGATAATAGTGGGTTTGCTTATTCCTCAGTTAAACTGGCTTTGACCTTGAGGGTAGTGTGTTTATTAGACTGTGAATCTGAGAGTCTATGGTTCATGTCCTCTGATCACAAACTTTTACTGTGCACTTTAGGAGTAATGGTTAAATTCAACTATTTGGTCAGATAAGAATAGCCAAGAGTTGGCTATATTCCCTGTAATCTATTTGGTTCAAAATTAGGGTTGGCTGTGTGCAGGTAATCCATATGTAACTTTACATAAACATTCTAAAGAAACAAACAGTTTTTTTTCCTATTTAAATTTTAGTTTTCTATTTTTTATTTCCTTTTTCACAGTAGCTTATGTCATTGCAATCCTTTCCCATTTTTGACATACTAGTAATTCTTTTTTAACAGTAAGCTTACAGGCATTGTTTTTAAACAAACAAACATTCTTGTTTTATATAGATCTTTTTGTTGTTCTGTATTTTGGATATTTTAATTTTTGAATACTTCTTTTGATAGGCCAATCAATCACACATCATAGTGTGTTGATTAGGTGTTTGTAAGTTTCTGTGGTTTACTGGGCTGTTCCTTACAAAATAAAAAGCCAGATCTGATCCAGATCTTGAAAAATCAGGTCAGTTTAGGTTTAATATTAGAATATTATGGAAAATATGCCAGATCTAGAAAAAGTGCCAAGTCTGCTGACCACAAAATACTAAATGTTTGTTATTTTTATGTGAATTATAGATCAAACTGTACACAGAAGTTTTCGTAGATTAAATAAGTTTAGTTTTTGATATTAAAGGCTGGTTTCCCATGTCATAGCTAACATTAAACTTATGAACAGTAGCATTGGTAAAGGTGGGTAAGATATTAAATACACAATAACAAAGCACCAATTGTATAGTGAAAACTTATCTGCATTTTATAAATACATGCAATATCTTTAACGTTTTAAACATTTCTTTATTTATCCTAATTTATTGTAATTGTTATTAGATTTTTAATATCTTTCCAATATCTCTTCTTTCCCTGTCCATTGTACAAATTCTGTAGTAGAGAAAAAGTTGGAATTCCTGTCATATATATCCAATAATTACACACAGATCTTTTATTGAAAGTAACAATTTAAGAATGATGTAGTACCTTAGCTGACTGAGGTAAAGTTGCTTATAAACTTAAAATTTATATGAGTTAGAAAAACTAATTTCAATTCGACTTCTCCAAATCATCATCAGTGTTCAGTATTAATATATCTTTTTTTTCTCTGTTGCTGTTTTCACTGGCTTACCCATACAGTTTTCAGAAATTACTGAAAGGCTGACGAGATATTAAAAACACTGTTTGTTAAATGTATGTAGATGTAAAAGAAATTAGGAACTAATGATTGTTTAAAACTTCATCTTACAAAAAAAAAAAATTATTGAAGGATACCATGCTGCAATAACAAACTAGAATAGCAATGTATTACTTTCATGTGATCTTGTACATCAGTCTTCCAATGAAAATTGGATTCATAAAGTGAATTAATTTTATAATTGATAATTGTAACATCAGTTTATGGTGTATATTAAAACAAAAGCAGCTAAGTAGACCTAGCAGAATCAGTGTTACAGACTTGGCATTAATAGTGGCCAGATCTATTAAAATTATATTCTAGATACAGAATGATTATCTCAAGATCTAATATAAATATGGCCTGATCTGTCAAAGATTTTCCATATCTGGCTACATTGCTTGGTCTGCTACAGATCTGTATAGATCAGACCCAAAATGCAAGTTTTTTTAAAGGGTGACAAAAGAGGCACTTATTTTTAAAGTTATTTGTGTATAGTTCTACTTTTCTGAGCTCTTTATACACTTAATTGATCTGGCAAAGATAATTTGGCCAAAACATTGAAATATTTTATTCATTGCATTTTAATCTATATATTTGTGGTATTTTTGGTTCAAAATTAGAATTTTTGTTAAACTTATTGATGTGAAACGTATATATATATATATATATATATATTGATTTAGATTTTGTTTCTTAATAAAACAAGTGGATTTTTTTATATGCAGTGGTCCAGAATAAATAGCAAACTACCATAACTGGGAATCTAAAATTCATTGCCAATGCAATATTACCAAAGCTCACACAATAAATTCCTTGAAGTAATCTCCCCTCCTGCTTTATTCTAATGGTCAAATCACTTTTTTTCTTTCTGTAATGTAGCTAGTTATTAATTCCTGAGTTGTAACTGGTGAATGATGCTGCCTGTGTATTTGTCTTTAATATTCTACTCACTAATAGTAGACACCTTTACCCTAGTTTTACCAGTTAGTTCTAGTAAACCATTAATATCAAAAGAAAAAAGTAAGTAATCTTTACTCTTCTCAGGTGAACTTTTTACATAATTTTAAAAATCGTGCTAGAAATTTTTATGTTTTAAAGAATACTGTGTTTTACATCAGTAAATTCAGAAAGTGGTTATATATATCTGACATCAATTTAACTCCTCCTCAAAAAGAGAACTGGCCCATTATGTTCACACTTCTGCCTAGATAAATGATATAAAAGAAGGCTGCAAGGGTGAACATAATCATTTTTTATAAGTAAAGTGATGCTGAATGATCATATGGAAGTATAGATATTTCCTGTTGACTTGTTTTAGAGTGATAGGCTCATGTGAAGCTGGTTGGTCCATGCTGCATTGCTTCTGATTGTGACATTTTTATAGATGTTGTGCATTAACTATTTATGTGAAAAACGTCTAGCTGCTGTGAAATAATGACCTTGAAAACCTTCTACTGTCACTTCATGTACAAAATAGTGAATGGCTGAAACTTTTGTAACTGTTTCAGAAGTAACATCTTTATTATTCAAACTATTTGAAGCTTTGCACTGTCAGTTATGGTTTGTGTTTTAGAGGAACACTCCTGAAGTGAAACATGGAGTGTCCAAGTAAAGAAAAATAACAAATTTGGTGTTATAAGGTCATTTATTTCTAGTATTAAAATGTAACTGTATTTGTTCTTAGGTATCTTATAATAAATAGAAGAAAAGTAATGTGTATTAATCCTGTGAGTATTAAATACATTTTACAAAATATGTTTACTCCTCAGTTGCAATAGTTTTTATGTTGAAATATAACACACAATGGATTTTATGTAATTGTATTTCATGGGTTTATTTATTTTTTTAAGATTTATTGCAAAATGAAGGTTGTGATTGGCCCTAATGATGAAATAAAGTGTTCTTTCTTGCAAGTTGCACCTTGTGTTGTTATTGATATTCCAATAATAAATCCTATCTAGGGGTCCTATGCTGCAGCAGTAGCTGATGAAGCTGTAGGGAATATCAGAACTGTGAGAGCTTTTGCCATGGAGTACAAAGAAGAAGAGTATGTATGATGTACTTTATTCGGTTGTGTACATTACAAGTATATTACTGATGAGAAAAATGAGCTATACTTTGTGTTAGTTTTAAGGGTGAGCTTTTAGTATTCAACCTTGGCAGAAATGTTTCCAATTAATTTTTACTTCACTTGCTGTTTCATGTATCTCGTAAGTAAGTACATGAATTTGTTGTCCATGTGAATCTTGTTTTTAAATGAAAATATATCTTGTATTGTCAGAAGTACGTACAAAGAAGTGTGTTGAAAGTTTGAGGTAAGGCAAATAAGATACTAAAGAGCTGTATCCAAATTAGTTTTGTGTCTTTACCCTTTTATCAAATGTCTGTGAAGCATGGTTTTAAAAGTGAAGTGTTTCAGTTGATGTAACAAACCTTAAGTAATATAAGTGTTTTATTGATATAAAAATACTATACTCACCTTATGATAGGTCTATTAACACTTATGCAAAAACTTTACATGTTGAAATGCTAATTGTAAATTAATATGATAATTAATAATTTGTAATTGCCTAATTAATAAAAAATTAATTTGGAGTTTGTATGTTTCTATTTAAAGTGACACAAATTCTTATTTCTAATTTCATATTCTTATGTTAACTAATTCACATTTGATTGGGCCTTCTAAATATATTACCTGAAAAGTGTATAAAATTCATGCACAATATACTTGTATGTGTGCATATATGTATAATGTTTCTTATGCATAGGTTTAAATCTGGTTCTTATAAGAATACCTAGATACTGTTAATTTTAAAATATTTTTCTGAAATGTTTATTGAAAATTTATAGATATAAGTAAGTAATAATGTATCTGAATTTCTAGGCAAATACTGCATGGAAAAATAAAAAATATCACAGCATATATAGTAGGCTACTATGATTTGTTAAGAAACCTCTATTGTGTAAAATTTATGCCCAGTGTTTCTTAGATTTGGATTGATTGTTTATTTACATTGACACTAAAAACTGCAAGTATTTATAGTCACAACTGGCAATTTTGAATGTTTTTAGGTTATACAACCATGAAACTGAGGAAGTCAGAAAGCTCAATACATCTTTAGGGATAGGAATTGGGGCCTTTCAAGGACTAACAAACTTGGCACTAAATGGTAACTACTAGGATATTAATATATTGATTTTTTTTTATTCCCAAGCTATGAAAAAAAAAAAAATTTCTGATATTAATGCTTTTATTAAGTTTTTCTTTACATTCCCTTGGTCTCTGTTCATAGAAGAGATCGAGTATTTTAGATTAATTTTACTTGGAGTAGATCATATGTAAAGAAATAATAATAATTTGCTCAATATTTCAATTTTAGCATTTTTTGGGGGGAACAGTAAACATATCCAGAGATATAAGAAATATTGAATCTTTAGATGTGCATGCTGCTCTAAAAGACAGCTACTGCTGAAACAGAAAGTCAGAAGGTACAGGTTGTGTTTTTATGTGAAGTAGTTTGGTAATTCATTTTGATCTAACAAGGTTGTTTCCAGTAATACTAGAATGTATAGGTTGCAAATATATTTTGTTACATGTTTCAACTACATTTGTGATGACCCAAACAAATGTAGTCAAAATATGTAGCAGATTATTAATATAATTATTAATTATGTTAATTGGAAAAAGTAGTTAAGATCTAAATTCATTTATTGTATAATTAACATATCATTAAAGGGCAGCAAGAGTTCTTTTAGTCCATCTAAGCTGTCCAATCTACTGAATTAAACAAAAGCCTTCAATGAAATAAAATTAAAAGCCAGCCATTATCAAATATTTTATCAAGATTTCCTTTCAACTCTCTTAAAATAACTGCATCCACCAAATCTGAAGGCAACAAGTTAGAGAAGCCAACCACCCTGTTAGAAAAGTAAAGCTTTCTTAGTGGAAGATGACTTTTTCCTTGCCAAAATTTATATTTGTGTCCCCCTAGTCATACCATTATCACCATTGAATATGAAAAAAGATGATGCATCAACACTATAAATCCACTTAATCTTAAATATTTGAATAATATCCCCTCTAAATCTTCTTTTTTACAAGTTCAGAGATCTTAATCTATCCCTATATGATAACCTTTCCATCCCAGGTATCATTCTAGTAGCCTTTCTCTGAACCATTTCTAACAATTCAAGATCCTTTCTGAGGTAAGGAGTCCAAGACTAAACACAATACTCCAAATCTGGCTTTACCAATGACGTGTACAAGGGTATTGTAACCTTTTTAGACTTGTATTCAATATTTCTTTAGATAAAACCTAAAATCATGCCACTAGGCACATTGCTTGGATAGTTTAAGAGACTGATGACTAGGACACCAAGATCTTTCTTCCATAATACAGTTAAGGTTATTTCCATCAAATTTATACTCATAATTCAAATTTTGATATCCCACATGCATTACTATGCATTCATTATAATTAAAAGCCATCTGCCACATATTTGTCCAACCCACCAAATAATCCAAGTTCTTTTGTGAAGCAGTAGTATCCTCCTTACAGTCAGCAACACCTACCCAAAATTTTAATGTCATCAGCAAATTTGAATAATCTATTCACCATTCCTTCATCTATGTCATTGGTGTAAATCAAAATGAGCCCAAATATACCCCACTTGTAACATTAATCAGTTATTAAGTATTAACATTAATACTTGTTTTTCTTTAAATAGTACCTTATTACTATTTATTGACACTAAGCCTTGGTGTTCTTGTATTTGTGAAGTTTTTGCACCATAATGAGTGTTATGTCTCTATGGAACATCCTTTCTGACCTCAATGTACACTATTGTATTTTTAATACGTTAACCTCCTTGGTGTTCTTGTATTTGTGAAGCTTTTGCACCATAATGAGTGTTATGTCTCTATGGAACATCCTTTCTGACCTCAATGTACACTATTGTATTTTTAATACGTTTGGTGTTCTTGTATTTGTGAAGCTTTTGCACTTTGTTTTTGTTACTTTTTCTTTTGCAAAATTTTCAGTTCCCTTTTTATGAAATTAAGCTTAACTTTCATATTCATTAACAAAAAAGTAACAACCATTCATATTGTTCTTACATGCAGTAGATGGGCAGATAAAGAGGGCTCCAATGTGTCTGGACCCCCTTATGAGAAGAAATTGACCTAGAAAAACCCACCTACAACCCCTCTCTAGCCAGGACCTCTCCTCCTTTTCTAAAAATCTTGTATTAATATCATGTAGGCACACTACTAGTTATATGTAAAAAATAAAATAAAATTACATAAACTGCAATAATCAGTAATTCTAGAAGCAGGAAGATAACTTAGAATAACTTCTTGCAAAACATAAATGAAACACCTTGATATTTATTTAACTGTAATTTGGCTTCAGTGATTAGAATTTGGATTTGGTGTGGTAATCCTTGAAGCAGGGCATTGCACAGAGTCTAATGTTGCAAGAAGAACAGTAGAGCTCTAAGTGTGTGTACTAGCTTTACCAGTGGTGTTTAGTGACGTTAAATAGCAGTAAATGGCAGAAGCATCCAGTTAGCAGAGAAAAGTGGGTCAAATGCTGCAAAATCCAGAAGTAAAGTTTACCCTGAGACTGTCTTAGGGTAACTGCTATGGAGGTTAATTTATAAACACCATAATGGCTATATTTTTCTAATTCTGTCTTCTTGTTATTCAACATTTTGCCCAAATTATTTTGAAGGAACATATGTATTTGTGTCATTATTTAAGTCTATAAATTTAATAAATTTGTTTTCTGAATTGAGAAGAGTTATAAAGTTGTCAAGTTGACATTCGGAGCCAAATCATATCATAGCTGTACCAATATTTGACAGGTGTGTTATTTTCATCACTAAACAATTTCGTTTCTAAATTATAAATCATTACTGATATAACAGACATACCGTTGTTCAAATACTGGAATACACCCTTTTGATCTTGAAAAAAGAACCCCCTAAGGGTTTGAGTAAAGAAAACAATGTTAAAAAACATAATAGGCCTAATACTATTGACTTTTAATAAGTATAATTGAACATTTATATTACACAGGCCTGAGAATTTAAACTTCATAAAAGTTGTTTTGGTTTTAGCAACAGATTTTCCATAATTCAGCTATGCAGATTTTGAAAATGATAATAATTTTTTTCTATCACGTAAGTATTTTTCACAAGTTGAAAAAGATGAAAAAACTCTTAATTAGATCAAATTATTATTTCATTTACCACACTGAGCATTTTTTATTGTTATGTTGATTAACAAAAATACAAACAAACTGAAGAAAAAGGAAGAACATTGATGTCAAATGAATATGCATCCTCATTCATCCTGATTTTTTTGTGAAATCTACGTCTTTTAGTCTCAAAACTACGTATTGTGGTTTTTCTTTTATGTATTGCATTATGATGTTTTGTGAAAAATTTGTTGAAGATGGAGAAAAATGGATATCGTTTTTGGATTCAGTGTACAGGAATTACTGTAGAACATGTAAAAATTTCAAAACAATAAAACCATTGCAGGCCTGTGTTATTAATTACATAATCTAACAGTTTTATTTTACTGAGATAGTTTGATTATTTGCCAACACAGTTTATTTTATTTCTATCACCTGATTTTAATTCTAAAATATCTGTAAGCATTAGCACTGTCTTCTTCTTCTGACCTTAATCCCATTCTGGTATGGGAGTTAGTTGCTTAGGTCTTCCTTCTCTATAGATTACAGTCCGGTGCATCATTTTTACTTGCACTGACCTTCTTATCATCACTGTCCATCACATCTCTCTAACTTATTTTCTGTCTTCCTCTACTTCTTTGTCCTTACAGTGGCATTTCCAATGCTGTTCTTACTGAACATCCTTCTTTAATTTTTACCACATTTACAAGCCAACTCAGTATTGTTTCTCATGCTTTTTCTGTCATATTACAGACTCCAACTCTTTTCATTCTCTCCAAGATATTCCAAGTATCCAGTTTAACATTCTCATGCCAGTTTTTCTAAAATACCCTCTTCCTTTCTTCTTCTGGCTCAAGTTTCTGCTCCACAAAGCAGAATTGGCTTAACTATTGTTGTAAAAGTTTTGCTCTTAAGCTTCAATGTATTTTTTGTCATTACTCATCCTTGATACTTCCATTCAGCTCTTACTCTTTCCCATACTTCCATCCTCCTCCTTCACTAATGTTGAATCCTAGATACTTAAATATATTTGATTGTTTTATATCAAGGTTGTAACTGTCTTTTATCTTCAACTCTTCTTTTCCCCATCTGCTGCTTAGCATTACCTCTGTTTTCCCTCTGTTTACTTTTAACCAACCTCTCTAGAATTTCCTGCCACATCCTGCAACTCTTCCTCTGTCTCAGCTTTATAACCAAACCATCTGCAAACAAGAAGTCCCAAAGCATTCCTCTTCTTTGCTCTTCACTCAAACCATCCATCAACTGTTCCTGTCTCAGGATAAAAGCACACTGTATTTGTAATATTTAGCACTGTAATTGATAAGAAAAAAACACTTGTCATATAATCTAAGAAGCAGTCTACTAAAACAAGACACATGAAGACCATTGAACCCTTATCTTTTACATTTTTGTGGTTAAACACAGTTTGGCACTAATCATATTTATCATATGTGAGTTGAAAGTGTTCACTATATCATCATTGTCAATTTCTGTGGTGGAGTAGGTCTACAGAAAGTCTATTCCCATGACTTGCCCTTACTTAACTCACCAAATTCTGTTAAATACCAGGTTAAGGCAGTGGAATGACTACAAAAATTTAGTTATATTGGTCTGAAACCTCTACACATTTCTACATAGTATGCTAGTTTACTCCATAAACAATGTTTTACCACACTAGTGACTATTTCACAAATGCAGGTTTGTGAAACCATAATTCTGGAACTTATTCTTTCAGGGTTGGCTTTTACATGAAAATATATTATTGCATAATAAACATTTTTATAGAAGAACTAAAAGTATAAAATTTAACATTAATTTGAAAAGAATGAAACTAGTCACAATTTTTTTCTAATAACCTTAATTTAAGACTACTTTTTGTATTTTTGAGTTAGTACTATCCTCTAAGTGAATTTCTTTATTATGTTTCTTTAACAAGAGTCTCTAGTGGCTCAGCAGTGAGCTTGAGGGCT